CATACATGTAGCATCTTGTCCCACAGACATGTAGCAACTTGTCCCACAACTTGTCCCACAACTTGTCCCACATACATGTAGCATCTTGTCCCACAGACATGTAGCAACTTGTCCCAAAGACATGTAGCAACTTGTCCCACAACTTGTCCCACAGACATGTAGCAACTTGTCCCACAACTTGTCCCACATACATGTAGCATCTTGTCCCACAGACATGTAGCAACTTGTCCCACAGACATGTAGCAACTTGTCCCACAACTTGTGCCACAGACATGTAGCAACTTGTCCCACAACTTGTCCCACATACATGTAGCATCTTGTCCCACAGACATGTAGCAACTTGTCTCACAGACATGTAGCAACTTGTCCCACAGACATGCAGCAACTTGTCCCACAACTTGTCCCACAGACATGTAGCAACTTGTCCCACAACTTGTCCCACATACATGTAGTATCTTGTCCCACAGACATGTAGCGACCTGTCCCACAGACATGCAGCAACTTGTTCCACAACTTGTCCCACTGACATGTAGCAACTTGTCCCACAGACATGTAGCAACTTGTCCCACAACTTTTGCCACAGACATGTAGCAACTTGTCCCACAACTTGTCCCACATACATGTAGCATCTTGTCCCACAGACATGTAGCAACTTGTCTCACAGACATGCAGCAACTTGTTCCACATACATGTAGCAACTTGTCCCACAGACATGCAGCAACTTGTCCCACAACTTGTCCCACATACATGTAGCATCTTGTCCCACAGACATGTAGCAACTTGTCTCACAGACATGCAGCAACTTGTCCCACAACTTGTCCCAAAGACATGTAGCATCTTGTCCCACAGACATGTAGCAACTTGTCTCACAGACATGTAGCGACTTGTCCCACAACTTGTCCCACATACATGTAGCATCTTGTCCCACAGACATGCAGCAACTTGTCCCACAACTTGTCCCACAGACATGCAGCAACTTGTCCCACAACTTGTCCCACATACATGTAGCAACTTGTCCCACAACTTGTCCCACATACATGTAGCATCTTGTCTCACAGACATGCAGCAACTTGTCCCACAACTTGTCCCACAGACATGCAGCAACTTGTCCCACAACTTGTCCCACAGACATGTAGCAACTTGTCCCACAACTTGTCCCACATACATGTAGCATCTTGTCCCACAGACATGCAGCAACTTGTCCCACAGACATGTAGCAACTTGTCCCACAGACATGTAGCAACTTGTCCCACAGACATGTAGCAACTTGTCCCACAACTTGTCCCACAACTTGTCCCACAACTTGTCCCACATACATGTAGCATCTTGTCCCACAAACATGTAGCAACTTGTCCCACATACATGTAGCAACTTGTCCCACAGACATGCAGCAACTTGTCCCACAACTTGTCCCACAGACATGTAGCAACTTGTCCCACAAACTGTCCCACAGACATGTAGCATCTTGTCCCACAGACATGCAGCAACTTGTCCCACAACTTGTCCCACAGACATGCAGCAACTTGTCCCACAACTTGTCCCACAGACATGCAGCAACTTGTCCCACAACTTGTCCCACAGACATGCAGCAACTTGTCCCACAACTTGTCCCACAGACATGTAGCAACTTGTCCCACAGACATGTAGCAACTTGTCCCACAACTTGTCCCACAGACATGTAGCAACTTGTCCCACAGACATGTAGCAACTTGTCCCACAGACATGTAGCAACTTGTCCCACAACTTGTCCCAAAGACATGTAGCAACTTGTCCCACAGACATGTAGCAACTTGTCCCACAGACATGTAGCAACTTGTCCCACAGACATGTAGCAACTTGTCCCACAGACATGTAGCAACTTGTCCCACAACTTGTCCCACAGACATGTAGCAACTTGTCCCACAACTTGTCCCACAGACATGTAGCATCTTGTCCCACAGACATGCAGCAACTTGTCCCACAACTTGTCCCACAGACATGCAGCAACTTGTCCCACAACTTGTCCCACAGACATGCAGCAACTTGTCCCACAACTTGTCCCACAGACATGCAGCAACTTGTCCCACAACTTGTCCCACAGACATGTAGCAACTTGTCCCACAGACATGTAGCAACTTGTCCCACAACTTGTCCCACAGACATGTAGCAACTTGTCCCACAGACATGTAGCAACTTGTCCCACAGACATGTAGCAACTTGTCCCACAACTTGTCCCACAGACATGTAGCAACTTGTCCCACAGACATGTAGCAACTTGTCCCACAGACATGTAGCAACTTGTCCCACAGACATGTAGCAACTTGTTCCACATACATGTAGCAACTTGTCCCACAGACATGTAGCAACTTGTCCCACAGACATGTAGCAACTTGTCCCACAGACATGCAGCAACTTGTTCCACAACTTGTCCCACAGACATGCAGCAACTTGTTCCACAACTTGTCCCAAAGACATGTAGCAACTTGTCCCACAGACATGTAGCAACTTGTCCCACAGACATGTAGCAACTTGTTCCACAACTTGTCCCACAGACATGTAGCAACTTGTCCCACAGACATGTAGTAACTTGTCCCACAGACATGTAGCAACTTGTCCCACATACATGTAGCAACTTGTTCCACATACATGTAGCAACTTGTCCCACAGACATGCAGCACCTTGTTCCACAACTTGTCCCAAAGACATGTAGCAACTCGTCCCACAGACATGTAGCAACTTGTTCCACATACATGTAGCAACTTGTTCCACAACTTGTCCCACAGACATGTAGCAACTTGTTCCACATACATGTAGCAACTTGTCCCACAGACATGTAGCATCTTGTCCCATGGACATGTAGCCACTTGTACCGAAAGATTTTATTTACAGATTTTTTTACTTTCTCGTATATACGAAGTATAGAGAAAGTATTGTAATCGTGCAAAAAAAAAAATCGAGATTTTTACAAATCTCGACGTTTTACATCTCACTGATACGGAAAAACATAATTTTGCAATCTTGTCCGTATGTCTGTGTGTGTGTGTGTGTCCGTGTGTAAACACGATTACTTGAGTACCGTTACAGCTAGGTTGATGAAATTTCATATATAAGTATTTTATCACAATCGTAGATCCGTATCAATTTTTGAGCGATTTCCGATAACCGGAAGTGGTACTTTTCCTACTTTAAATTTTTCAAAAGCCTATAACTTGAGTACTATTTCAGATAGATACATGAAATTTCACATGTAAGTAAAAGATCTAATTCTCTACCTTCTTTTAAAGTTTGAGTAATTCCCGTTGACTGGAAGTAGTAATTTACGCTACTTTCGATTTCTCAAAAAACTAATGGAAATTTTAGAAGTACTAATAATATTGCGTACTATTATGCGCTTTTCAATTCGGCGTTCACTTGGTGTGCAATTAATTTGTCTACGAGATTTTATTCTATTTTTAAAACTTTAAGTATTTAAAATGGATTAAAAATCATGTCTATAGCCCGAGTTCCCATCCCCTGTTATTTTATCTATACTAATAGTTTCGCTGTCTGTGTATCTATCTATCTATCTGTCTGACAAGAACGCTCTGTCTGACAAGAACGCTCTAGAGAAAACATAAGCAAAAATTCTATCTGACAAGAACGCTCTAGAGAAAACACAAGCAATTTAAAAACTCTCACAGTGAAACGAAAGACGAAGTATGACGTCGACACATTTAGCATAGAGTAGAAAATAATCTCAAACCCAGAGAGTGCTCACAGTTATATGACGTCATTGATTTTCGCGTTAACATTGAATAAAAAGGAAATGTTGTCTAATCTTAATGGTTTGCGTGAAGAGTTTCTTGCATACAGTTCTTCGTGTAGGGGCGAAGCTCCAACCCCCGCGTAAGAACGTCTGAGCCCCCCCCCCCCTCCCCAACTCAAAAGAAATTTCTTCATCGATACTCTATAATAAAATTACCGCCTAATTAATGTGTCTAATCTAAAAAGTGGTTTTCTTGCAATTTCTTTAATGCAATTCTTCGGGTAGTGGCTAAGCGCGACACCAGTGTTTCTTTCAGACTTTTTCCTCCCCGGAGAGGGGTGGGGGTAATTGAAATTTTCGGGGGCGGGGTTAGACACTGGAAAAAGTATATAATTATATTTCGTTGAATGGGACGGTAGACATGTTTTTTTTGGGAGTTGGGGGGGGGGGGGTGGGAGGTGGGGAATGGGGGGGGGAGGTGTGAGTGGGGGGGGGGGGGGGGGTGGGGCGGTGGTTTCCTCATCGACACTCTATAATAAAATTACCGCCTAATTAATGTGTCTAATCTAAAAAGTGGTTTTCTTGCAATTTCTTTAATGCAATTCTTCGGGTAGTGGCTAAGCGCGACACCAGTGTTTCTTTCAGACTTTTTCCTCCCCGGAGAGGGGTGGGGGTAATTGAAATTTTCGGGGGCGGGGGTAGAATTTTCGGGAAGGGAGGCGGACACTGGAAAAAGTATATAATTATATTTCGTTGAATGGGACGGTAGACATGTTTTTTTGGGGGGTGGGGTGGGGGGGGTGGGGGTGGGGGGCGGTGTGTGTGGGGGGGGGGGGTGTGTGGGGGTGGGGGTGGGGGGGTGGGGTGGTGTGTGTGGGGGGGGTTGGTTTTAGTTTAGAGAAAAGAGACAGCACTATCAGCCTAGCGCCCGTTGTACCCTTCCTCAACGGGCCATTTTTCTCGTATAAGAATATTCGAGAAAGTTTAGGGGAGATCACTCCCGGTTTATTAAAGATTGATTTAAAGATTGTATCCGAAGATTGAATCTAAATATTGTATTTAAAGACGTTTAAAATATTGTTTTAAAGATTGTATCTGAAGATTGTATCAAAAGATTATATTTAAAGATGTTTTAAAGATTGTTTTAAAGATTGTTTTAAAGATTGTATCTAAAGATTATATTTAAAGATGTTTTAAAGATTGTTTTAAAGATTGTTTTAAAGATTGTATCTAAAGATTGTTTGCACACTTGTAAACTTTTGATTGTCTTGGACAGGCCTTGATTCTGTATATGGCGCTGTTTGGGAACGGGGTTGTCCTACTGGTTCTCAAACTGCGCAGACAGAAGTTGTCCCGTATGCAGTGGTTCATCGCTCACTTGGCAGTGACGGACATCTTTGTGGCCATCTCAAACACCATGACCCACCTCATTGAGGAGATCACCGGAGACTTCCGGGGCAATGACTTTCTGTGTAAACTGGTCAAATATTCGCAGGTAAGTTGCACTAAAGCTCGAATACAGTATCGCGTAGACTGTATCGTGTAAACAGTATCGTAAGACAGTATCGTGTAGCAAGCATCGCGAGACAATATTATGATGGTGCACACAGTGTCATGTATGTAGTTCGTATAGACAGTGGTGTAGAGAGTCAGATAAGGAAGTACACAGTATCGTTTTAACAAAAGGAGTTGACAATATCATGTAGAGAGTATCGTGTATAGAGTAACGTGTATATAGTATCGTGTATAGAATATCGTGTAGAGAGTATCGTGTAGAGAATATCGTGTATAGAGTAACGTGTATATAGTATCGTGTATAGAGTAACGTGTAGAGAGTATCGTGTATAGAGTAACGTGTATATAGTATCGTGTAAAGAGTATCGTGTATAGAGTATCGTGCAACTGTAAAAAATGGTTCTGTCCCCAGGTGATTGCGTTTTTCGCCTCCTCCTATGTGCTGGTGATGACGGCCATTGACCGGTACCTGTCCATCTGTCACCCACTGACCAGTCAGATCATGACGCCCAAACGTGTTCACCTCATGATCGCACTAGCCTGGCTCCTCTCACTGCTCTTTGCTATCCCACAGCTCTTCTTGTTTCAGTTAAAGCTAGAGACAGAAGGTAGGTCTAGCTACAGCTAGAGAAGGTAGGTCTTGCTACAGCTAGAGAAGGTAGGTCTAGCTACAGCTAGAGAAGGTAGGTCTAGCTACAGCTAGAGACAGAAGGTAGGTCTAGCTACAGCTAGAGACAGAAGGTAGGTCTAGCTACAGCTAGAGACAGAAGGTAGGTCTAGCTACAGATAGAGATAGAAGGTAGGTCTAGCTACAGCTAGAGACAGAAGGTAGGTCTAGCTACAGCTAGAGACAGAAGGTAGGTCTAGCTACAGCTAGAGACAGAAGGTAGGTCTAGCTACAGATAGAGACAGAGGGTAGGTCTAGCTACAGCTAGAGACAGAAGGTAGGTCTAGCTACAGATAGAGACAGAAGGTAGGTCTAGCTACAGCTAGAGACAGAAGGTAGGTCTAGCTACAGCTATTGACAGAAGGTAGGTCTAGCTACAGCTAGAGACAGAAGGTAGGTCTAGCTACAGCTAGAGACAGAAGGTAGGTCTAGCTACAGCTAGAGACAGAAGGTAGGTCTAGCTACAGCTAGTGAAGGTAGGTCTAGCTGCAGCTAGAGAAGGTAGGTCTAGCTACAGCTAGAGACAGAATGTAGGTCTAGCTACAGCTAGAGACAGAAGGTAGGTCTAGCTACAGCTATTGACAGAAGGTAGGTCTAGCTACAGCTGGAGACAGAAGGTAGGTCTAGCTACATTGCTGACCAACACATCCCATAACTGACCGTTACCTGACACGACTGACCAACAAAAGATGTGACTGACCAACAAGCGATTTGACTGACCAACAAGACGCGTCTGACCAACAAAAGATGTAACTGACTAACAAAAGATTGACTGACCAACACATTTTACTGACCAGCAAGTGATGTGACTGACCAACAAAAGATTGACTGACCAACACATTTGACTGACCAGCAAGTGATGTGACTGACCAGCAAGTGATGTGACTGATCATCATACCATGTTGCAGGAAATTATTCTGGCTGGTACCTGTGTCAGGAGACCATGTCTGAGACGTCATTGACAGCCTACGTCACCTGGATGTTTCTCTCTGTCTACGTCATACCTTCTCTTCTGCTGGCCTTCTGCTACGGCAAGATCTGTCACGTGGTCTGGCTCAGTGTTGGCTCGAAGGAAACAGCTTCATACAGGTAAATAGATTCATACATTTAAATAGATTCATACAGGTAAATAGATTCATACATTTAAATAGATTCATACAGGTAAATAGATTCTTACAGGTAAATAGATTCATACATGTAAAAAGATTCATACAGGTAATAGATTATAACAGGTAAATAGATTTTTACAGGTAAATAGATTCTTACAGGTAAATTGATTCTTACATATAAATAGATTCTTACTGTAAATAGATTCTTACAGGTAAATAGATGTGTGTAAATGACCAACCATCCCTTTATGATGCCCTTACAATTTGTTGTGTAAATTACCAACTCTCCCTTTATGATGCCCTTACAATTTGTTGTGTAAATTACCAACTCTCCCTTTATGATGCCCTTACAATTAGTTGTGTAAATTACCAACTCTCCCTTTATGATGCCCTTACAATTTGTTGTGTAAATTACCAACTCTCCCTTAATGATGCCCTTACAATTTGTTGTGTAAATGACCAACTCTCCCTTTATGATGCCCTTACAATTTGTTGTGTAAATGACCAACTCTCCCTTTATGATGCCCTTACAATTTGTTGTGTTAATTACCACCTCTCCCTTTATGATGCCCTTACAATTTGTTGTGTAAATTACCAACTCTCCCTTTATGATGCCCTTACAATTTGGTGTGTAAATGACCAACTCTCCCTTTATGATGCCCTTACAATTTGTTGTGTAAATGACCAACTCTCCCTTTATGATGCCCTTACAATTTGTTGTGTAAATTACCAACTCTCCCTTTATGATGCCCTTACAATTTGTTGTGTAAATGACCAACTCTCCCTTTATGATGCCCTTACAATTTGTTGTGTAAAATACCAACTCTCCCTTTATGATGCCCTTACAATTTGTTGTGTAAATGACCAACTCTCCCTTTATGATGCCCTTACAATTTGTTGTGTAAATTACCAACTCTCCCTTTATGTTGCCCTTACAATTTGTTGTGTAAATGACCAACTCTCCCTTTATGATGCCCTTACAATTTGTTGTGTAAATGACCAACTCTCCCTTTATGATGCCCTTACAATTTGTTGTGTAAATTACCAACTCTCCCTTTATGATGCCCTTACAATTTGTTGTGTAAATTACCAACTCTCCCTTTATGATGCCCTTACAATTTGGTGTGTAAATGACCAACTCTCCCTTTATGATGCCCTTACAATTTGTTGTGTAAATGACCAACTCTCCCTTTATGATGCCCTTACAATTTGTTGTGTAAATTACCAACTCTCCCTTTATGATGCCCTTACAATTTGTTGTGTAAATGACCAACTCTCCCTTTATGATGCCCTTACAATTTGTTGTGTAAAATACCAACTCTCCCTTTATGATGCCCTTACAATTTGTTGTGTAAATTACCAACTCTCCCTTTATGATGCCCTTACAATTTGTTGTGTAAATGACCAACTATCCCTTTATGATGCCCTTACAATTTGTTGTGTAAATTACCAACTCTCCCTTTATGATGCCCTTACAATTTGTTGTGTAAATTACCAATTCTCCCTTTATGATGCCCTTACAATTTGTTGTGTAAATGACCAACTCTCCCTTTATGATGCCCTTACAATTTGTTGTGTAAATTACCAATTCTCCCTTTATGATGCCCTTACAATTTGTTGTGTAAATGACCAACTCTCCCTTTATGATGCCCTTACAATTTGTTGTGTAAATTACCAATTCTCCCTTTATGATGCCCTTACAATTTGTTGTGTAAATTACTAACTCTCCCTTTATGATGCCCTTACAATTTGTTGTGTAAATGACCAACTCTCCCTTTATGATGCCCTTACAATTTGTTGTGTAAATGACCAACCCTCCCTTTATGATGCCCTTACAATTTGTTGTGTAAATGACCAACTCTCCCTTTATGATGCCCTTACAATTTGTTGTGTAAATGACCAACTCTCCCTTTATGATGCCCTTACAATTTGTTGTGTAAATGACCAACTCTCCCTTTATGATGCCCTTACAATTTGGTGTGTAAATGACCAACTCTCCCTTTATGATGCCCTTACAATTTGTTGTGTAAATTACCAACTCTCCCTTTATGATGCCCTTACAATTTGTTGTGTAAATGACCAACTCTCCCTTTATGATGCCCTTACAATTTGTTGTGTAAATGACCAACTCTCCCTTTATGATGCCCTTACAATTTGTTGTGTTAATTACCAACTCTCCCTTTATGATGCCCTTACAATTTGTTGTGTAAATTACCAACTCTCCCTTTATGATGCCCTTACAATTTGGTGTGTAAATGACCAACTCTCCCTTTATGATGCCCTTACAATTTGTTGTGTAAATTACCAACTCTCCCTTTATGATGCCCTTACAATTTGTTGTGTAAATTACCAACTCTCCCTTTATGATGCCCTTACAATTTGTTGTGTAAATGACCAACTCTCCCTTTATGATGCCCTTACAATTTGTTGTGTAAATTACCAACTCTCTCTTTGTGATGCCCTTACAATTTGGTGTGTAAATGACCAACTCTCCCTTTATGATGCCCTTACAATTTGTTGTGTAAATGACCAACTCTCCCTTTATGATGCCCTTACAATTTGTTGTGTAAATTACCAACTCTCCCTTTATGATGCCCTTACAATTTGTTGTGTAAATGACCAACTCTCCCTTTATGATGCCCTTACAATTTGTTGTGTAAAATACCAACTCTCCCTTTATGATGCCCTTACAATTTGTTGTGTAAATGACCAACTCTCCCTTTATGATGCCCTTACAATTTGTTGTGTAAATGACCAACTCTCCCTTTATGATGCCCTTACAATTTGTTGTGTAAATTACCAACTCTCCCTTTATGATGCCCTTACAATTTGTTGTGTAAATTACCAATTCTCCCTTTATGATGCCCTTACAATTTGTTGTGTAAATGACCAACTCTCCCTTTATGATGCCCTTACAATTTGTTGTGTAAATGACCAACTCTCCCTTTATGATGCCCTTACAATTTGTTGTGTAAATGACCAACTCTCCCTTTATGATGCCCTTACAATTTGTTGTGTAAATGACCAACTCTCCCTTTATGATGCCCTTACAATTTGTTGTGTAAATTACCAATTCTCCCTTTATGATGCCCTTACAATTTGTTGTGTAAATGACCAACTCTCCCTTTATGATGCCCTTACAATTTGTTGTGTAAATTACCAATTCTCCCTTTATGATGCCCTTACAATTTGTTGTGTAAATTACCAACTCTCCCTTTATGATGCCCTTACAATTTGTTGTGTAAATGACCAACTCTCCCTTTATGATGCCCTTACAATTTGTTGTGTAAATGACCAACTCTCCCTTTATGATGCCCTTACAATTTGTTGTGTAAATGACCAACTCTCCCTTTATGATGCCCTTACAATTTGTTGTGTTAATTACCAACTCTCCCTTTATGATGCCCTTACAATTTGTTGTGTAAATTACCAACTCTCCCTTTATGATGCCCTTACAATTTGGTGTGTAAATGACCAACTCTCCCTTTATGATGCCCTTACAATTTGTTGTGTAAATTACCAACTCTCCCTTTATGATGCCCTTACAATTTGTTGTGTAAATTACCAACTCTCCCTTTATGATGCCCTTACAATTTGTTGTGTAAATGACCAACTCTCCCTTTATGATGCCCTTACAATTTGTTGTGTAAATTACCAACTCTCTCTTTGTGATGCCCTTACAATTTGGTGTGTAAATGACCAACTCTCCCTTTATGATGCCCTTACAATTTGTTGTGTAAATGACCAACTCTCCCTTTATGATGCCCTTACAATTTGTTGTGTAAATTACCAACTCTCCCTTTATGATGCCCTTACAATTTGTTGTGTAAATGACCAACTCTCCCTTTATGATGCCCTTACAATTTGTTGTGTAAAATACCAACTCTCCCTTTATGATGCCCTTACAATTTGTTGTGTAAATGACCAACTCTCCCTTTATGATGCCCTTACAATTTGTTGTGTAAATGACCAACTCTCCCTTTATGATGCCCTTACAATTTGTTGTGTAAATTACCAACTCTCCCTTTATGATGCCCTTACAATTTGTTGTGTAAATTACCAATTCTCCCTTTATGATGCCCTTACAATTTGTTGTGTAAATGACCAACTCTCCCTTTATGATGCCCTTACAATTTGTTGTGTAAATGACCAACTCTCCCTTTATGATGCCCTTACAATTTGTTGTGTAAATGACCAACTCTCCCTTTATGATGCCCTTACAATTTGTTGTGTAAATGACCAACTCTCCCTTTATGATGCCCTTACAATTTGTTGTGTAAATGACCAACTCTCCCTTTATGATGCCCTTACAATTTGTTGTGTAAATTACCAATTCTCCCTTTATGATGCCCTTACAATTTGTTGTGTAAATTACCAACTCTCCCTTTATGATGCCCTTACAATTTGTTATGTAAATGACCAACTCTCCCTTTATGATGCCCTTACAATTTGTTATGTAAATGACCAACTCTCCCTTTATGATGCCCTTACAATTTGTTATGTAAATGACCAACTCTCCCTTTATGATGACCGTCCACAGTTCTGTCCGCCAATGCGGGCACCACAAGAGCGCCAAAGAGTTCAGGATGAGGGTGTCGTTTAGGCCTCAGAGGGACGGCGCCAACGGCTCTCTGGGACCACGTGACCGCCTGGACCAATCATCTGTCGACAAGAAACCACGTGGTCACCAGCGGGGCGTGTCCAAGTCCAAGATGAAGACGGTCAAGCTGACCTTGTCTGTAGTCCTGTGCTACCTGTTCTGCTTGTCGCCCTTCTACATCTGCAACATCCTGACTGTCTACACCACCGCCGTGGACTTTGAGCGTGAGTTCAAATCCTCGTCCTCTCTACCTGCTCGCTGCTTGGCCTCCAAACAAAATCTTTTGCCTCCAACGATGTCTGTATGAGCCAGCTCTGTTTAAGCTCTGTGTTAGCTCTGTATGTCTTAGCTCTGTGTCAGCTCTGTATGTCTTAGCTCTGTGTTAGCTCTGTATGTCTTAGCTCTGTGTCAGCTCTGTAGAGTCTGAGCTTTAAAAATGTCGTTTTATAGTCCACTTATTTGTTTGTTGGCTTTTAAGTAGGACCACGATCTGCACTATGTCTTTATGACTGTATGACTGTATAACTGTATGACTATTTGACTGTATGACTGTATGACTGTATGACTGTATGACTGTATGACTGTATGACTGTATGACTGTATGACTGTATAACTGTGTGACTGTATGATTGTATGACTGTATGACTGTATGACTGTGTGACTGTATGACTGTATTACTGTATGACTGTATGACTGTATGACTGTATGACTGTATGACTGCATGACTGTATGACTGTATGACTGTATAACTGTGTAACTGTGTGACTGTATGACTGTATGACTGTATGACTGTATGACTGTATGACTGTATGACTGCATGACTGTATGACTGTATGACTGTATGACTGCATGACTGTATGACTGTATGACTGTATAACTGTGTAACTGTGTGACTGTATGACTGTATGACTGTATGACTGTATGACTGTATGACTTTATGACTGTATGACTGTATGACTGTGTGACTGTATGATTGTATGACTGTATGACTGTATAACTGTGTGACTGTATGACTGTATGACTGTATAACTGTATAACTGTATAACTGTATGACTGTATGACTGTGTGACTGTATGACTGTGTGACTGTATGACTGTATGACTATATGACTGTATGACTGTATGACTGTATGACTGTATGACTGTATAATTGTGTGACTGTATGATTGTATGACTGTATGACTGTATGACTGTATGACTGTTTGATTGTATGACTATTTGATTGTATGACTATTTGACTGTATGACTGTATGACTGTATAACTGTGTGACTGTATGACTTTATGACTGTATGACTGTATGACTGTATGACTGTATGACTGTATGACTGTATAACTGTATGACTGTATGACTGTGTGACTGTATGACTGTGTGACTGTATGACTGTATGACTGTATGACTGTATGACTGTATGACTGTGTGACTGTATGACTGTATGACTGTATGGCTGTATGATTGTATGACTGTATGACTGTATGACTGTATGACTGTGTGACTGTATGACTGTATGACTGTAAGACTGTAAGACTGTATGACTGTATGACTGTATGACTGTATGACTGTCTGACTGTATGACTGTATGACTGTATGACTGTATGACTGTATGACTGTATGACTGTATGACTGTATGACTGTATGACTGTATGACTGTATGACTGTATGACTGTATGACTGTATAACTGTATGACTGTATGACTGTATGACTGTATGATTGTATGACTGTATGACTGTATGACTGTATGACTGTATGACTGTATGACTGTATGACTGTATGACTGTATGACTGTATGACTGTATGACTGTATGACTGTATGACTGTATGACTGTAAAACTGTATGACTGTATGACTGTATGACTGTATGACTGCATGACTGTATGACTGTATAACTGTATGACTGTATGACTGTATGACTGTATGACTGTATGACTGTATGACTGTATGACTGTATGACTGTATGACTGTATGACTGTATGACTGTATAACTGTATGACTGTATGACTGTATGACTGTATGACTGTATGACTGTATGACTGTATGACTGTATGACTGTATGACTGTATGACTGTATAACTGTATGACTGTATGACTGTATGACTGTATGACTGTATGACTGTATGACTGTATGACTGTATGACTGTATGACTGTATGACTGTATGACTGTATGACTGTATGACTGTATGACTGTATGACTGTATGACTGTATGACTGTATGACTGTATGACTCTATGACTGTATGACTGTATGACTGTATGACTGTATGACTGTATGACTGTATGACTGTATGACTGTATGACTGTATGACTGTATGACTGTATGACTGTGTGACCTTGTCTGACATTGACCCTGTCTACTCCACAGATCCTGTCGTCGTTATATCAATGCTCCTGCCCTCACTCAACAGCTGCACCAACCCTTGGATCTATCTGGCTTTCTCCGGACGCTCCTGCCCTTGGACCCGCTCCAACCGGAAGCAGTCACGGAGCTGGGCGCCGTCCACCAACGTCACATCCGGTGCCGACAGCCTGGAGTCCAAAACTCGCTCGTCTTTCATCGACATGGCACACACCAACTCGCGACACACCAGCCCTCGACCTGACGACAAGAAACTCCACCACAGTAAATGCTGAATGTCCTTGATAGATGTATGGTGGTAAATTGGTACACGTTTGGTGGTAAATTGGTACACGTTTGGTGGTAAATTGGTACACGTTTGGTGGTAAATTGGTACACGTTTGGTGGTAAATTGGTACACGTTTGGTGGTAAATTGATACACGTTAGGTGGTAAATTGGTACACTGTTGTTGGTAAATTGGTACACGTTTGGTGGTAAATTGGTACACGTTTGGTGGTAAATTGGTACACGTTTGGTGGTAAATTGGTACACGTTAGGTGGTAAATTGGTACACTGTTGTTGGTAAATTGGTACACGTTTGGTGGTAAATTGGTACACGTTTGGTGGTAAATTGGTACACGTTTGGTGGTAAATTGGTACACGTTTGGTGGTAAATTGGTACACTGTTGTTGGTAAATTGGTACACTGTTGTTGGTAAATTGGTACACGTTTGGTGGTAAATTGGTACACGTTTGGTGGTAAATTGGTACACGTTTGGTGGTAAATTGGTACACGTTTGGTGGTAAATTGGTACACGTTTGGTGGTAAATTGGTACACGTTTGGTGGTAAATTGGTACACGTTTGGTGGTAAATTGGTACACTGTTGTTGGTAAATTGGTACACGTTTGGCGGTAAATTGGTAAATGTTTGGTGGTAGATGTTTCGTGTAATTGAAGCTAAAAAAATAAACTTTTCAAAATGTTAATCACCTAAGTTGACCTTTGTAAATGTCCAGTTGGTCATTTGTCAAATGTGTGGATCCCGTGGTTCAACATTAAAGCCGGACAATCAGCTGACCCGGATGAACTAGGTCAGGGTAAAAACAATTGTGGGTCAAATGTCGTGGGTCAATACGTCCTAGTTCAGATGTCCTGGGTCAATATGTCCTTACAAAAGTAATTTTATCGATGACATGATAAAGTTGTTCTGTTTTATCGATGACATGATAAAGTTGTTCTGTTTTATCGATGACATGATAAAGTTGTTCTGTTTTATCGATGACATGATAAAGTTGTTCTGTTTTATCGATGACATGATAAAGTTGTTGTTTTATCGATGACATGATAAAGTTGTTCTGTTTTATCGATGACATGATAAAGTTGTTGTTTTATCGATGACATGATAAAGTTGTTCTGCTTTATCGATGACATGATAAAGTTGTTGTTTTATCGATGACATGATAAAGTTGTTCTGTTTTATCGATGACATGATAAAGTTGTTCTGTTTTATCGATGACATGATAAAGTTGTTCTGTTTTATCGATGACATGATAAAGTTGTTCTGTTTTATCGATGACATGATAAAGTTGTTCTGTTTTATCGATGACATGATAAAGTTGTTCTGTTTTATCGATGACACGATAAAGTTGTTCTGTTTTATCGATGACATGATAAAGTTGTTCTGTTTTATCGATGACATGATACAGTTGTTCTGTTTTATCGATGACATGATAAAGTTTTTCTGTTTTATCGATGACATGATAAAGTTGTTGTTTGCAACAGATTTAAAAAGCGCCAACTTGACCCAGCTGTGGGGTTTACGTGACCTCAAGAATTTTGTTTTCCAATGTGACGTTTGTGTGTGTATGTATGTATGTGTGTGTTTATGTGTGTGTTTATGTGTGTGTGTGTTTGTGGTATTACCACTGTTTTGGAAACTATGTTTACAATAATATTGTTTTATATTTGAAACCATGAATCTGACATCTCCTCTGACTCACTTCGCATTATGTTGATCTTTCAATGTATATTGATTCAAATAAAACTTGTGAATACTTTGTTGTCCATAGTCTGAGTTTTGTAAGCCTGACCTTGACTTGTGTGCTACAACAAGAGCTGTTTTGATTGGCTGTTGATAACAGGCCACTACTTCAGCAACTCGGCTATCTTTAGAGAGGCGACTTCAAACTTACAAGGGGAAACTATTCTAGCAAACTAATAAAGGGAAACTATTCGATCAAACAAATACAAAGGGAAACTATTCTAGCAAACTAACTAACAAAGGGAAACTATTCTAGCAATCAAATACAAAGGGAAACTATTCTAGCAAACAAATACAAATGGATACTATTCTAGCAAACAAATACAAAGGAAAACTATTCTAGCAAACAAATACAAAGGGAAACTATTCTAGCAAACAAATACAAAGGGAAACTATTCTAGCAAACAAATACAAAGGGAAACTATTCTAGCAAACAAATACAAAGGGAAACTATTCTAGCAAACAAATACAAAGGGAAACTGTTCTAGCAAACAAATACAAAGAGAAACTATTCTAGAAAACAAATACAAAGGGAAACTGTTCTAGCAAACAAATACAAAGGGAAACTGTTCTAGCAAACAAATACAAAGGGAAACTATTCTAGCAAACTAATAAAGGGAAACTATTCGATCAAACAAATACAAAGGGAAACTATTCTAGCAAACTAACTAACAAAGGGAAACTATTCTAGCAATCAAATACAAAGGGAAACTATTCTAGCAAACAAATACAAAGGGAAACTATTCTAGCAAACAAATACAAAGGAAAACTATTCTAGCAAACAAATACAAAGGGAAACTATTCTAGCAAACAAATACAAAGGGAAACTATTCTAGCAAACAAATACAAAGGGAAACTATTCTAGCAAACAAATACAAAGGGAAACTATTCTAGCAAACAAATACAAAGGGAAACTGTTCTAGCAAACAAATACAAAGAGAAACTATTCTAGAAAACAAATACAAAGGGAAACTGTTCTAGCAAACAAATACAAAGGGAAACTGTTCTAGCAAACAAATACAAAGGGAAACTATTCTAGCAAACAAATACAAAGGGAAACTATTCTAGCAAACAAATACAAAGGGAAACTATTCTAGCACACAAATACAAAGGGAAACTGTTCTAGCAAACAAATACAAAGGGAAACTATTCTAGCAAACAAATACAAAGGGAAACTGTTCTAGCAAACAAATACAAAGGGAAACTGTTCTAGCAAACAAATACAAAGGGAAACTATTCTAGCAAACAAATACAAAGGGAAACTATTCTAGCAAACAAATACAAAGGGAAACTATTCTAGCAAACAAATACAAAGGGAAACTATTCTAGCAAACAAATACAAAGGGAAACTATTCTAGCAAAAAAATACAAAGGGAAACTGTTCTAGCAAACAAATACAAAGGGAAACTATTCTAGCAAACTAACAAAGGGAAACTATTCCAGCAAACAAATACAAAGGGAAACTATTCTAGCAAACAAATACAAAAGGGAAACTGTTCTAGCAAACAAATACAAAGGGAAACTATTCCAGCAAACAAATACAAAGGGAAACTGTTCTAGCAAACAAATACAAAGGGAAACTATTCTAGCAAACAAATACAAAGGGAAACTGTTCTAGCAAACAAATACAAAGGGAAACTATTCTAGCAAACAAATACAAAGGGAAACTATTCTAGAAAACAAATACAAAGGGAAACTGTTCTAGCAAACAAATACAAAGGGAAACTATTCTAGCAAACAAATACAAAGGGAAACTATTCTAGCAAACAAATACAAAGGGAAACTGTTCTAGCAAACAAATGTTTGTACTTAACTTGGGAAACTTTGCCACATCTTTACCGTCACATACAGTCACTATGTAAAGCGGATAACTTAAATGTCATAATTTAAATATCATAATTTAAATATCGTAATTTAAATATCGTAATTTAAATGTCATAACATAAATGACATAATTTAAATGTCATTACTTTATGTCATAATTTAATGGTAGTTGCTTACCGTTATAAAAAAATTGGCTAGATTTATATAACCCTAGATTTATATGTCATTATAGCAACGTGAGTCGATTCTTCTTTTAAAATAATAATATAAAAGAGTAAGAAAGTCAGTAAGAAAGGCAGGGTGGGACAGGGTGGGACAGGGTGGGACAGGGTGGGCCAGGGTGGGACAGGGTGAGGCAGGGTGGGCCAGGGTGGGGCAGGGTGAGGCAGGGTGAGGCAGGGTGGGCCAGGGTGGGGCAGGGTGAGGCAGGGTGAGGCAGGGTGGGCCAGGGTGGGCCAGGGTGGGGCAGGGTGGGCCAGGGTGGGGCATAGTGAGGCAGGGTGGGCCAGGGTGGGCCAGGGTGGGGCAGGGTGAGGCAGGGTGGGCCAGGGTGGGGCAGGGTGAGGCAGGGTGAGGCAGGGTGAGGTAGGATGAGGTAGGGTGGGGCAGGGTGGAGCAGGGTGGGGCATAGTGAGGCAGGGTGGGCCAGGGTGGGCCAGGGTGGGGCATAGTGAGGCAGGGTGGGCCAGGGTAGGCCAGGGTGGGGCAGGTGGGGCAGGGTGAGGCAGAGTGAGGCAGGGTGGGCCAAACAAGATCACACTTGACTTGATGCCCTGCCTATCAAATATTTTTAGCGCAATTTCCATTCTGGAGAATTGCGTTTATTAACCCGTCATTTCTGGATGTATGAATGTATGAATGTATGAATGAATGGATGGATGGATGGATGGATGTGTGTCCGCAGGTTTAAGTCGTATCTCCTCCTCAACGAAGCAATATCGAGGACTAGTTCCAAAAGCAATTATGTTAAGCAAGTTACGAGGATGAACATAAGCTATAAAAATTCCGGGTTTCTTTCGTGGATTTCCCGGAAAAGCCAAAAAACCTCGGGGAAAAAACAGTTTTTGCCCATATCTCGACCACTTAGCGACTTGAAACATGTACCAATCGATTCCTGCCATAATTTAGAACAATATTGCCGAAGAAAGTTTTCAAAAATATCCTTTCGTTCGGTCACAAAAAGTTTTTTGAATTAATTAAAATTTGGACCGAATTAGTAGGCATATTTATCCAACCACACCACACGCGTCATCACGTTCAATAGCTGCGCCATCACGTACAATGGCTGCGTCATCACGTTCAGCAGGCGCGCAATGGTTTTTAGTCATGTAACTCTATTGTAAATAAAACATGTAAAATACTGAAAAAAAATTAATAAAAAACGTTTTAATAACTAACCAATGGTTTTACTAACCCTGCTCTTGATTTACGCTACGACAGAGCTATTTTTAGATAACATAAGGAAATTGCGCTTAAATGTCACTAGACTTTTTAATTAACTTGTTTTAGCAGATGTCGGCTTCAAGTATAAAATGTCAGCTTCAAGTGTAAAAT